CCGAAGAATCTGAAACGCATTGTCGAGCTGCGGGGGACGCCTGCGGAGCGGGAATGACAGAACCGATGGCTGAGATTGTACGTCAACGTTCGAACCAACCACCGACGTGCTTGTTACAAAGCGCAGATATCAATCTCAGCGATTTGCCCACCAAGGCGGACATGTAACCAAAATGGCCCAAGTAGGTGTCATCCGCTCGACGAGAAGATGAGCAGCGAACAAAACTAGCCGTTGTTTGCCACACTGGCTACGGACAGACGAGGCGGAGGAGAAGGAGGAGGAGGAGGAAGAGGAGGAGGAGGGCGAGGAGGGGGAGCATGACAGTGAGAAAGGAAGAGGAAGAGTAGCATATGGAATTCGAAACCCTTCTCCGCCTCCTCCTCGTCTTCGCCCTCCCCCACCTTTTCATACTTGGTCTCCTCATGCCCCCTTTCATTCCTCTTCAAAATGGATAACTTCCCCCTGCCGCACCACCTGACGTCTATGTAGGCCGTGGCGTTTCGCTTAAGACTTACTTGTCGTTGGCAGTCCAGGAACAAAAACGAGGGACCCACGTACCTGGAAAGTAAGCCAAGTCAAACCGCCGTCTGACGTGCATCCTAGACGATGGTGTGCGACGCCTCGATCATGGAAAAGTTGCGCTGCATGCTCCAGCGTGGTCTTAGTCCTTCGCCTAAGACTGCCTCACGATACGTACGCGTTATCCCCCTGGAGCCTCCTGGGCATCATGGGGCCACCTCCTCCTCCTCCTCCTCCTCCACCTTCTCCATGCTCCTTATGTTTGATTCGTCTCCTCCTCGCTCCTCGCTCCTTCTCCCTCTTCGCTCCTTCTCCATCCTCGCTCCTCGCTCCTCGCTCAGCTTCCTCCTCCTCCTCCTGCTCCTGCTCCTGCTCCTCCTCCTGCTCCTCCTCCGTATCCTCGTTCGGTGGGCGTTTGCAGTCCGCGCAGGCCCCGCAGGCCACGGACATCATCGTCCACGCATGCATGCCGAGATGCATACCCCTCTCAGCCCAAATCCGACGCCACCTGCTCAAGACCCTTCCTGTCTAGGGCCAAAGGCCCCCCCCACACAATGATCCCTGGGCCAGAGCTCTCCCTGGGGGAAGACGCGCCAAGCGCATGAGAAATACCCCACTCCGCGCACGTATTTTTACGCATCAGGAGTACCACGCCCACCTGTCGGATGCCCCACTTGTGGCCCTTTGGCGCAGAAAGCACAAGCCAAACGCACGCGTGCCGAGATGCATGTTGGATACCCCCCTTTATGCGCGCGTATATTTTCAAGGGGCCCAATGACACACAAATAAATACACACAAATAAAAGGATTCTCTATATTTTCCAATCTTTTCTGGGTTTTTGTCTTCCCCCCCACATCCCATGTTTTCCAATATTTTCCTGGGAGTCGACGATTAATTGTGTCTGTGTGTTTTTTCTCCTCCTGATAGTTACTTGCCCAAGCCCGACGCCACGTGCCCGCCCCCCGCATGGTCTACGGCTAAAGGGCCGCCCACACAGAGAGAATCCAGGGCCTGAGCCCCTTCGGTGAAAAATCCAACACGCATACAGTCAAAACGTGTATTAAGGACGGGTGGTAAGGACGCAAGACCCTTGGAGGCCGAAGTTGGATTTTTGGGGCGGGGGGCGGCCAGTGAAAACGGCGAAGGACAGGCCACAGAGGAGGACTCAAGGGTACCCCAGATGAAGGCACGCGCCCTTGCTAGGCGCGTTGACTGTAGAGGAACAAAGACCGGCATACACATAAACAGTCGCTGGTCCGCGCGGGTTTCTTGGATCTGAGCTGGAGCCCCCTCCCTGGCGCGCTGAACGCGCCAGGGGCGGCGTCAGAAGCGCCGCCAAGGGGCCCCACCGCAGATCCAAGAAATCCGCGCGGACCTCCGACAGTTTATGCTTGTGCCGTTTTGGAGGCCTGGGCCCGGGACCTGAGCCCTTCTTTGCCGCCGCGGAAAGAGAAACCTGGGCCTGAGCCTTCGCCTTGCCCGGAAGGCTGGTGGCTTTCAAAATGCGGCTCTCGCGTTAGCGCCGCAGACGACCGCTTCAAAAGCCTCCAGCAGTTGCCAGGATGGAGGGGCGGTGGTCTTCAAATTGCGGCTCTCGCCCCAGCGCCACGCACATCCGCTGCACAAGCTCCATAGGGCGGAGGCAGGCATCTTTCCAAGATTCGGCTCTCGCTTGAGACTTCCTCGTGTCCTTCGACCCCTCGTTTCAAAACGTGCAAGAGTTGCGCAGATGGAGGGCGGCTCCTTCTCAAAATGGAGCTCTCGCTTGAGACTCCCACAAGTCTGTTGACCAGAACTGGGAGGTTGTTGGATTCTCACACGGATGGAACCCATGAGTGAAGTTGTCGCTTGGCACTTTCTTCATGAACGTTACCATCCTAGCAATAGGAAGTCCAGGGTTCGCTAGGTGCTGGTTTCCTTTCAAAACAGCCGACACCCTCCCGAAATCCTCCGAAAACCCTCCGGGAAGGGCTCCGGGAGGGTTTTCGGAGGGCTTCGGGAGGGTTTTGGAGGGGTTCTCGTCATTTGAGGAGAAAGCCTGTCCCTAGCGAATCCTGGGCTTCCTGATCCTGCCTCTTTGCGTGCGGTTTGGCTTGGGAAGGATCGAGGGCGAATACTTTTCAAGACGGGATCGGGCCTGAGTGGCGGGCCCGGCAGGCGCTCGGCAATCTCAAGAGGAGCGACTCCCGAAGTGGAAAGGAACTACTGTTGGGAACATGTGGGGCGGGGGCTTTGGGACGAGAGGGCGAATCACAGCATCTTATCGTGAAGCACCCGCGGTTTACTCTGTTCCTCCTCCTCCTCCTGCTTCCTTCTCCTCCTGGGGAGGAGGGAGATATGGGGAGGGGGGGAAGGGGGAAGGAGGAGCAGGAGCGGGACGAGAAAGAGGATAGGAATGATGGGATGGATACGATACGCAAGCTCGGGGGCGCGCGAACCGCTTGCCCAGCAGGGGCTCGCTGGCACATGGGGCGAGCCGCACGGGCAGGCAACGCTCGAAAGTCCAAAAGGTCCTTTATGCCCTTTTGGAGCGAGTCGATCTCCTTGACGAGCACCTCCATCGTCTCCTTACGATCAAAAAGCTTGTCACACACATCACCCGTCATAGGTCTGCGCGGATTTTCGAGGGTCGACGCAGGAGCGCGCGAAGCGCGCCATGGGGCGGTGCCTGACGCGCCGCCCAGGGGGGGAAACCAGTGCCGACCCAGGAAATTCACGCGGACCTCCGCAAAACTACGCCTTATGTAGTTCGTCTGTCCCTCTTGACTCCTTGGCGTCCGCGATCGCGACCTCCGTGTCCTCGATCTTCTGAGCGAGCGCCTTCGCCTTGTCCTCGGCCGTGTCGAGCGACTGGCCGCAGTACTCCTGGCGAGGCGGGGTGGCCGTGCACGCGTGGCCGTGGCCCCGATGAGAGGGCCCATCCGCTGCCTCGGCCGCCCGCGAAGGCGCGACGGGTGCTTCCCCTCTTGGGATGCAGCGGGGGGCCCCGCGGCGCCGAGCACTCGAGCGAACGCTGGAGGAAACGGGCCCCGAGGAAAACGGACCCCGGACCCCGGGGCCTTCCCCCAGGACGAGATCTTCGCCCCGCGTCGTGCTCTGACGGGCGCTCGGGGCCCGTGGAGGGCCCCGAGCGCCCGAAGACGGCGAAAAACCTCGGGACCCGTCTCCCTCGGGACCCGTTTCCCGCTGTGGTGGATGAGAGGGCCCGGCCGCGGCCTCGGCCGCCCGCGCAGGCCTCGGCCGGACGGGCGCGATCGCGAGGGCCCGACGGGCGCGGCCCCTCCTGGGGTGCTGCGGGTGGCCCTGCGGCGCCGAGCATTCGAACTGCAGTCGGGGCTGCTTGGAGAGGACACGCGGGAGGACACAAAGGCCCTTCCGAGGGCCACATTGCCAAACAAACTCAGGAGGCACGGGCCGCGAAAACACACGGGACACCTTTTGAGTCGGCGGCGGCGGGGCAGAACTGCTGCATCGGTGGTCGGGCTAAACGGGGCTGCCGAAGAGCGAACTGAGGTGCCCAGCGTGCAGGAGGGGAGACTGAGACAGACGGGGCGGCCGCGGAGGCGGGAGGAAGGGGGCCTCCAGGGGGCCTGCTTCTGGCCAGGGCACTCCGCGGCGCACGCGGTGGCCTGTCCATGGCTGCACGGTTTCCCCCGGGGCCGTAGGCGACCCGAGGAGGAGGAGGAGGAGGAGGAGGAGGAGGAGGAGGAGGAGGAGGAAGAGGAGGGGGAGGGGGGGGAGGAGGAGGAGGAGGAGGAGGAGGAGGAGGAGGAAGGAGGAGGAGGAGGAGGAGGAGGAGGAGGAGGAGGAGGAGGAGGAGGAGGAGGAAGGAGGAGGAGGAGGAGGAGGAGGAGGAGGAGGAGGAGGAGGAGGAGGAGAGGAGGAGGAGGAGGAGTAGGAGGAGGAGGAGGAGGAGGAGGAGGAGGAGGAGGAGGAGGAGGAGGAGGAGGGGAGGAGGAGGAGGAGAGGAGGAGGAGGAGGAGGAGGAGGAGGAGGAGGAGGAGGAGGAGGGAGGAGGAGGGTCGCCTGAGCCCTTCGGAGAAAGCCTCCACCCACGGCGCCTGGAGCCCTGGAGGTGGGGGTGCCCCCCCCCAGGGGCCTCCTGCGGGCACGCCCCGCCACCCTGCCGCGGGGGGGGGGGGGGGAACTGGGGCCGGCGACGGCACTCGCCGGCGCACGCGGCGATCGCCTCGCGGCGCCCGGGGCCGTGCACCTGCCGGCTGTGGAGGTGCCTCTTGTGTCAGGTCGGACATGTCCTCCTGCAGGCGGGCTCTCGAGATGTGCGCAGCACCGCCAGCATGGCAGGGCAGAGCTGAGCGACGTGCGTCTCAACAGGCGGGGCCGGCGCGAGGTAGTGGCTGGAGGAAAAGGACAGATAGCAAAAAAGAGACTCAACACTCAGAAGGAATCAAAAATGGTCGACAGATCGTCCCCAGACTACTTTTGGCTACTTTTTGGATATGCCTCCTGTATTGGGACATGCCCGACTTGACTCTTGTGGGCCTCCTGCGGGCACGCCCCGCCTCTGCGCCGCTGGGGGGGTTCGGGCCCCGGGGGCCGTCGAGAGGCGACCCGCGACGAGCAAGCGGTCCCAAGAGTGGGGGCAGGGAGCTCCAGAGGACCCCGCGCCGCGGGGCACGACGAGCCCCCCTCAGAACACCTCGTTATAGGGGAACAAAAACGACATAAACATAAAAGCTCGGAGGTCCGCGCGGACTTCTCGGATCCGCGCTGGGGCCCCCTGGCGGCGCCTCCGGCGCCGCCCCTGGCGCGCTCCGCGCGCCAGGGAGGGGGGGGGGGTCTGCGGACCTCCGAGTCTTTATGCTTATATAATTTGTCGTTCCCCTTGTAGGTAGGAGGTCGGCCCGTATCATATGCGCGATCACGATAAGGATGCAAGGGCCTTGGACTCCCATTCCGAAGCTTTCCGAGCGGGGCGCGGCCAACGAGAGTGGCCAAGGATGGACCGAGGAGGCAAGGATGCAATGTTACCCTTGGGAAAAATGCCCATCCTCGTTATGCGGGTCGACGGTAGGAGAACGGCGGGTGAAGACGTGCACTCCTGGGCATTCCGGAGATCTCCGACGTCCGAGCAAAACGATGCGGCCATGTGACATGGGTGAGAGCGCGGCCCTGTGCACCTTCACGTTTGTCACCAGGGATCGCGGCCGTCCGGAGCAGAGGTGCAGCGGGAGAGCACGACTCCTCAGTACATTGGTGACGCATCCGGCGAAACGGCTGCTGGACCCGGGCGGCCTCGGGCTCCCCGCGCCCCTCTGGGGGACCCTCCTGTGTTGCTTGCCGCTGGTAAAACCCTCTCGCGAAGCGTGACAAAGGAACAAAAGACAGCGTCGAAGTTCGCGCCCCGCGCGTCAGGCCCTGGACGTTGGCCCAAATGATTGTCGTGTCGTGTTCGGACGCTGCCCCAAGCTGGCCATCCGCCACCGTGCGGGGCGCACGTGGTGGCATGCCCCAAGGCCCATACAAACGTGAGAGGTAGAGGGCCTTGACACTCCGCGGCCAAGAATTCGGGGGTGGTAGCGCGCGAACCTCCAGGAACCTTGAAGTGTTGAAACACTGCCACCTCCCATACGTTTTAGTCTCGGATGGTGCGCTGGGCCCGCCGCCCAGAATCTGTCCCGCCCAAGACGACCCCGATACCCCCAGGAGCCCCCAAAGACACCCTGGAGGCTCCCGGGAGGCTCCCGGGGAGCCTCTCAGAAAACTCCATGGGCGCCCCAGAAGGCTGCATGGTTCTTGCGCCGATGCCAGCGCGCGCGACCGTTTGCCATACTGACGCCCGTGGGGGAGAGGAAAGGGAGGGGGCGGATGAGGAGGAGGATGATGAGGAGGTGGAGGAGGGAGGAGGAGGAAGAGAAGGAAAGGAGGACCAGTGTAGACCTAAGACGCCTCAGCGATGTTGCAGTAAGCCCTCCCTCGAAATTCCCTCTTCATGGGTCCCTAGATGTGACCCGTTAAAATACAATCGTCTGGTAATCCTCAATTGTGCCAAAACACCCTTCCTGGGACTTTAACGCCGCAGATCACTGTGACTGCTGCGTCCTGGGCAATCGTGCATCATGCCAAAACACCGTTCCTGAGACTTTAGCGCCGCAGCTCAATGTGACTGCTGCGTCCTGGGCGATCCTCAGCCGTGCCAGAACATCATTCCTGGTCCTCGAGCACCCAGACTATACGTCATCGTTGCGTCCTGGGCAATCCTAAATCGCGCCCGAACATCATTCTTGGCACTTCGACCATCGGAGCCCGTGCGAGTGTTGCAAACTTGCAATCTTACAATACGAATGTGCGCTGCGCGAAAGCGAGAGCAACATTTCGAAACACACAACAAATCTGTATCCTTGAAACGCTGCAAGCTCTTAGAGCGAATGCGCGCGGCGCTGAAACGAGAATCGCAGTTTGAACAACGACCCGCCTTCCATTCGCGAATCTCTTTATAAACTTAGAAAATAAATTAACGCGGTGTTAGGGCGAGAGCCACATGTGAAAAGGAACCGCCCTCCATCCGTGAAGCTTCCAACACATGTTAGCGCGAACGCGCGCGCTGCTGAGCGAAACTCACACTGTGAAAACCACCCGCCCTCCATCTTGAGACGGTTGGAAGCTAACGCGAATGTGAGCGGCGCTATAGCGAGAACGACTGTTGAAAACCGCCCGCCCCCCATCCGTGAAGCCGTTGCAAATCTCAAGCTCCAGGGCCGCAAATGGCGAGGAAGTCTCAGGCGAAACGCCCGACCAGCCCGGCCGACGCGCCTGATGGTGCGACGAAGAGGAAGTAGTTATTCGCTGAAAAGATGGGACAGGAAGAAAGACAGGGACGAAACGGCATTGAGGACATGCCGCCTCGCCAGCCACCAGGTAGGCCGCTTCGGAGGTGGGGCCTTCGAACGCCCGCGCGCCCCCATTGTCCAGGCCGAGTGGCGCAACGCGCCCGCCCGCGCGTTCCCGCACAGCGACGCCGCACCGCATAGCGGCACGGCGCAACGCGCCCGCGCCGAACGCCGCCGCACAGCGCCATGCGCCGCACGTCTGAAGGGGCTCTGCCGCGCAGGCGAACCACTAGCCTCACCTGAGTGGGCCCCAAGCGGCGAATGGGGCCTGGGGGCCCCGAGCTGGGGGTGGACCCCAGCACCCCAGCAAGAGCGGGAACCCAAGTCCCCAACCCCCGATCGCCCCAACACGTGGAGGCGCGGCCCCACCCGCTTCCGCCGGTCCTGCGGCCTGGTCCCCGGTTCAATGTATACCCCGCCGATACAAGTTGCGCCGACCGCCGCGCTGGCTCCGCCACTGGAGGGTGCCCCTGCTATTCCCGAGTCGTTGACGGGGCCCCTGCCACAAAGGATGGAAGAGGAGGAGGAGGAAGACGAGGAGGGGGAAGAGGACGCGGAAGAGGAGGAGGAGGAGGAACTGCAGCCGTGAGGAACAATATACGGAAGAGGGGTAAGGAAAAGGACAAGGATCAGGGGGAGAGGGGAGGGGGGTGAAGGAAAGATGAGAAGGAGGAGGAGGAGGAGGAGGAGGAGGAGGAGGAGGAGGAGGAGGAGGAGGGGGAGGAGGAATGGGAAGCACAAAGACATACTAGTACTACATGTCCTCCTTGGAGGCGCGCGTCCGACCCGAACATATAGTATACCCATCTTGTAGTATATCGTTTCCCGAGCGGTGTGGCCAGAAAGCGCCCGCCACGACGCATATACTATAAGATTTCTCGGTGCGCGCGTCGCCCCTGGGGGGGCGACGCACATATAGTATAAGTATGTTGGGGTGTTGCCGAAGGAAGAGGAGGAGGAGGATGAGCCCCCTAGACCTTCCATACCCCTGAGACCCCATACTCCGCTCAAGCCTCTTCCGCCCCCCTCCACCCAGCAACTCTTCCTCCCCCATCCTTGCACCTACATTTCTCCTTATCAAACAAGTGCTCTGTATATTGTCCTCGGCCCCCTCATGTTCCCATTAAAGCCTCCTCCCCCCCGCTTGTGCGAGCACTTTCCCCGCAGCTCTGATTTCTAGCCGCAGAAGAACTCTCGATCTCTCTGCACATTCGTATTGATATACATCCTGCGTGGAACCACCCCGGATGGCACACCCCCGCCCCGCACAAATCCCAAGACCTTTTTCCGACGCCCCACCTTGCCCCAGGTTTCCTCCAGGACGGCTCCCAGGCCTCCCTGGCTAGCCGCCCGCACTCCTCTTGACGCCGCGGACGGCCCGAGAAGGCTTACGACGACTGCCAAGATGGAGAATGGCCACAACACGACCTAACAGGCTCTCAAACGGGGCCCAGGAGACCCCAAACAGGGCAACGATAAGGAAAATTCATGGATCCCCCTAGAGTTTTGAACGATTCTGGCGTTCTCGCCGTTTTGAATTTCCGACAGCCACAGACGCCCCCAGGGACTGTCGAGATCGCTCCGATCAAGGTGCCCCCAAGATGGCCCATACAGCCTCCAAGAGACCCCCAAGAGGCTCTCAATATGCCTCGAAGATTTCTTTAATAAGCCCACCAAGGTCCCAAGACGGCCTGGTGACGGACACAGCTTCGACGTGGACCAAACTGCTGAACGCCAAGGGTCCCAAGAGCGGGCGGCGCCATGAGCTCCCTCGGGCAAGTGCCTGAAGCGACATCGTGGATCTTGGCTCATGCACTAGTTTGTTGATTATTGACAGTTGTCTCGCCTCACGATGCCTTCCAGCAGCTACGCCTCGCCCGAGGGCGTTACTGGGGTGCCTGGATCCTCCCGAACAGGCGCCCCAGGATTCAATTCAGGCCCGACGAAGGGATGGTGTGCTCGACTTCCCGCTACCCTCCCGACAGTTCACCGGCAACTGCGTCTCGCCGAGGGGCACACAATTTCTCCAGCAACCTGTGGGAAGTTCAACCCGACATGACGTTCACCCAGTCACGGTGTATACCTGGAAACCTTCGCAATCTTGACCAAAGCCCCACTCACGGTTACCACCCTCACCCCCACATGACATGATCATCACCGTGACCGCACCTTCCTGCATTTTCATCAGGCCGTAACGATCATGCTTTGAACCGTTGCCGCAGCCATGACCTTCAACCCCTCGGGGTCATGAGCTTTCCCAGTTCCAATCGCCGTCGCATGCTCTCGGGAGATGAGGAAATTAAGGTCGTCCTGGCCCGTTTGCATCGAAATCCGTCTTAATGTCTCCGTACTCGGACCCGCCGTTTGCTCAGCCCGATTTCGGGGCACCCAATTTTTCCTTCTTGCTCCTACCGCCTTGCTTCCAACAGCGTCACACGTCTCTCTCTCTCTCTATTTCACAATTGCACGAAGTTGCACAGACGAAGGACCAAACGTTGAGGAGAAACGAAACGAGCCATAACATGTGTATACATGCGTGCGTGCATACATACATACACACATCCATACGTCCATACGTGCACAAATACATACGGACATACGGACATACGGACATACGGACATACGGACATACCCATACACATACACATACACATACACATATTCATACACATGCACAGACACATACACATATGCATATACACATACGTACATACATACATACATACATACATACATACATACATACATACATGCATGCATACACACACACACTGTTTTCTCCTCCTCGGGAGCGCGGGAGAGCCTCCGCGCTCGAAACTCTCTGAGCCTGAACACCAGCGGAGCGGCAGCAGCTGGTGGGGCTCCCAAGGACCTCGGGTCTGAAGGAGGCCCCTGCAATATCAAAGAATCTCTACCCCCCCCCCCCCTCGCAGGGGACTCCTCTCTTCCTCCTCAGAAGGATGCGGTCGGTCCTTCTCCGACCTCATGCCGCTCGCGAAGACCAGCAAGCGGTCCTGGCAGCGGGCAAGCTCGCGCTGACCGCGAGCGCCCGCTCGGGCGAAGGCTCAAGGCTCACTCACTCACGCTTCTTTGCGAAGCACACCTCACACCTGCGGCGCGCCACCAGGCGCCGCTCCACGTTAGAGAACTCCCTCGAGAGCTCGGCATCGCGTGCTCTGGTGCACCACCCTGTCGGTCTCAGGCAGGTGGAACGCCCAGCTCCCGTTCATCATCTTCGTCATGCCCTCTGGGTCACGCTCTCCTCCTGATGAAGAGCTCGCCCTGGACGCCTGTGGTGCAGGGGCAATGCGCCCCCGCAGCGCCCAGATTGCCGTCAGGTAGCCCAGCACAAAGGTGAACACCCAGCTGAGCAGCAGCATCGCAGGCACGATCATGAAATCGCGGTTGTCATCGTCGGTGCCTCTAGCACCACCTCGATCTTGAACTCCTTCTCCTCGTTGAGATTGCAGGGCCATACGCAAGGCCAAGATCGCTGTGTTGAGGCTCGGGCTGCTCGCAATCCTCCCACCGCACTGCGTGCCGCGAGCTGTCCGCCCCAGCTTCTCGATTGCAGCGTTCACCTATACCTCGCGAACAGCTCCCACATCTCCATTGAGTCGGCGTAGTCCCACTTGCTTGCAGAACTGCTCATGGACCTCGGACGTGTGTGGCTTCGTCCCAATGTCACTGGCATTCTCGGTACCCTTGCACTTCAGCGCCTGCAGGCCAAGCATGCGCGTAGCCTGCTGGGCCTAGAGTGTTCGCGTGTCCAGGTGGCGGACCTTCCCGACGCCCTGCCTCAAGGAAATCGCGCGAGCTGCTGAAGAGTCCGTCTCCAAGGTCCACCCGACACGAAACCCGAACCATGTGAGCAGATCCCTGAGCATCTTGCCGTCCATGGCCACAGTGCTCAGCGCGTAGAACTCGCTCTCTCCAGAACTCACTGCAATCAGGTCCTGCCTCCTCGCCAGCGTCGCCAACACCACACCATCAGCGTACAGAACCCCACAGGTCGTGCTCTTGCGCCTCGCCTCCTTGCCTCCGTGGTCGCTGTCGGAGAAACTCCTCAAGTGGACCGCGCCCTTCTTGTAGATCCTCATATCAACTTTCGGGATGAACACGCCCAGGTCGGATGTCCCAACCAAGTAGCGCCCAAGGCGAAGCAGCCTTTTCCAAGAGAGCTCCGTAGGCGCCGCCAGGTCAGATGCCAGCATCCCCACGGCCCGCTGGATGTCGGTGCGATCTTGCGCCAGGTATAGGCCACTCCCCACGCACGAACGGCACCTCGCGATCTGCTTGTCGACGAGTGGCGGGGAGTGCTCCAGGACCTCTTCCGATCCCAAGTCTGGAGTCTTGACTGGATTCGCGCCCTTCAGCCCTAACTCCGCGATGATGTTGAGGGCGTGCTTCTCGCGCGGTTGCACGAAGATGCCCTCGTCCGTCTTGATCCTCGTCCGCTTGAGGTACTCAAAGCGGCCCTCGGTGACGACGTCGCTGTCCTTCAACTTCAGCTTGGCCCTGATCATCGGAAGGCAGCTCTCGACCTCGCTCTTGGGGCCCGTGCAATAGAAGTCGTCCATGTGCAGCTCCAGGCCCAGCGTCGTCATCGGCCTGCAGTAGAACTGCGGGCAGGCCTCGTTGCGCTCGAAGCCGCACTCCAGGAGGCGCTCAGCCGCGAAGCTGATCCACTCCCTGCTCGCAGCTCTCCTGCCGGGAAGCTGCTTCTCGAGCTTCCAGGCCACGTCCGTGCTAAACCCGGCCTTGGCCCTTGCAGCTAGCCGCTCAGGTGGCGGGTCGCAGTAGAACCTCCCTCTCAGGAACCTGATAGTGCGCGCTCGAGACGTCGCCAACCGCAACCACGAGCCGATCATCTGGATCATCATCGTCCTTCTGGCAGAGGAAGTCAATGATGCGGCTGGTCAGGGACGTCGACCCAGGAGCGAAACGATCATCACGCTCCTCGAGCCAGGCAAACTCCCTGCCCACCAACCTGTACTTAGGGACCCCAGCACGGTCCTTCTTCTCACACTTGGTATCAACCTTCTTCTTGCCGTCGGCGGCCGTTCGAGGATGAACTGAGTAGACGCCGAACTCATCGCAGAGCTTCAAGCCCTTGTCGAGCGCCTCGGCCGCCTCCTCCTGGGAGAAGCCGCTGCTGTCCCAGTGCGTGAGCTCCTTGACCGTCAGGAGCGCCTTGTAGTCCAGCGTCTCGCTGATGTCCTCGATGGCCCCGACGATCGGGTCCTCGTAGCGTCCCCTCTTGGCCTCGTGCCACCCCAGGACGGCATCGTTGTTCGGTGATCTCGCTCTGGTTGCCGTACCCGAGGAGCTCGCAGCAGCAGGCATCGGGGCGTCTGGCTCACCACTGGCACCAGCCCCCTCGGGGCCTCTTGGTCCACTCCCCGAGCTTCCGCCAGCTCCTGCATAGCTTTCCGCCTCTCCGCCAGGTCTCGGCGGGGCCTCAGGAGCCTGGTCCTCTGGGGCCCCGGGGCGAGGGTCTGGTGGGTGCTCAGCTGAGGCCTGGGGATCAGGAGGGTTCGTCCCCGACTCAAGACCCTCGGGGCCAGGACGGGCAGGGCCCTCCTGGCCCTCTGCCCCAGACGGGGGAGCTCCTGGAGTCCGTGCCCACGGCCTCCAGCGGCGTCGGCACGACCTCGCCCCTGCCGCCGTCCATGGCGAGGGGCCGAGGCATGTGCGCGATCTTATCCCTCCAGGGCTCGCCGCGGACCTTCAGGAGGAGCTCCCTGTCGTGGCGCTTCCCCTTGGGCATCCTGCGGGCGGTCCTGCAGGTCACCTTGCCAGCAATCGTCAGGATGATGTGCTCGTCGTTGTTGGTCGTCTTGCCGACCCAGATCCCCTTGGCCCAGGCAGTGTCCGCATTGTTCAGCCTGGGGGCCAAACCTCCCATCGAACGTCGCTGGCCCGTCTTGCTGACTGGAACCCTTGCCATCACCGTCTCAGCGAAGGGAACCACTGCTGCAGTGTAGTTCACGCCGTAGACCGCAAAGCGAGCCGTGTAGCCGTCAGCACCTCGCGAATACCCACGTTCGCAGCGTGGTGGGCGAGGAGCGGCCAGAGCGGGGAGTGCGGCGTGAGCTTGGTACCGTAGTTCATCTCCACCTGCACCCTGTTGGCCTTCAAACGGCCTCGCCACCAGCGGGTCCGCGTCTCGATGAAGCCCATCGGCTTGCTGTCCCGCGAGCGACCCTGCGAAACTCTGGTCTCCAGGTTCTCCTCGTTCCTCGCATTCGCGACCTTATCCTGGAGAGCCTTCACCGCAGGCTCAGTGTCGCACCTGAGCTCGGGCTTCTGGTACGCGAGCTGCTTCATGAACCTCATGAGCTGCTTCACGGTGTGATCGTCTGCGGCCTTGCTCCCCAGCGCGTTGCCGTATAATAAACCAGTGCTGCGGTCTGCAGCCACGAGAGATGTCCCGAGACCCTTGTCGGCCTCGTCGCAGAGATTGTCCGTGTCCTTAGTGCCGTTGAAGGCCCAGTCGAAGACAATCAGCTCCTCTCTGACATTGCTGCCGTAAACGGGCTGCTTGATGCGCGGGTCCTCAGGCCCCAGTCAGAACACACGCGCAGGGCACCACTTCTTGAACACAGCGTGGCCAGCAGCCTCGTGTTGCTCCTTCTCAACCTCCGTTGGGGCGTAGGGCGCCTCGACGACCTTGGCCTCTGTCGCAGGCTGGCCGTCCACTTGCTGTTGGTAACGCGCCTCGACCGACTTCTTGAAGTCCAAGTCCTGCTTGTGCTTGAGCTCAGCATGCTTGAGCCTCGTCCACAGCTGCTCCTTCGTGCCGTAGATCGCGGCCCCAAGCTCCTTCAAGCGCTGTCGGAGCAGGTCGACTCGAGAACCTGGCCCGAGCTCTGCTCCCCCAGGGTCCCTCGCAGGGCGGGGGGCCGCCCCTGGCCCTGGCTGGTCCCCAGGCGGACTGGCTGCCGCCGGTGGGGCTGCGGTGGGAGCGCCACCTCCAGACCCCGACGAAGCCGACCCAGTATCCTCTGCCATAGGCACAGGCGCTGCAGCTTCGTCAGCCTGGACGGCCCCCTCGTCCTTCATCACCGCGTCCTCGTTGGCGGCGACGATGCCCGACTGCTGGTCGGGGTAGCGGCCTAGCAACCGCTTGGTCTCCTTGACCACCTCCTTGGCGTCCTCGAGGTCCTTGTGCGCGCTGGCAGGGACCCCGAACGTGTTCTTCCCCCGCACCATCGGGATCTTGACATACCTCCCGTCAGGCTTGGAGTAACCAACGTAGCGCCCGTCGTTGTGCGAGTAAACCACGTCAAAACCTGCATCATAGACTCTGCCAGTGCTGCGTAGGTTCCGAGCGAACGGGCCAACCTTGACGTTGGCCTTGCAAACCACTCGGCCCCCCATCGTGAAGGGAACCATGGCCTCACCGTCAAGGGAGATTTTCTGCTTCTGGGCGGCGATCAGATTGGCCGACGTAGGCTCCACTGCGCTATGCCTCGCAAAGCTTCGTCGTGCGCAGTGCTCGTCGGCGCCACCATCCAGCATCAGAAAGTCGTCAACGTCGTACTCCTTGAGCTTGGCCCCGTCGCCGATGGCCATGATGATCGTGTCGTCGCAGGCGTGGCACGCGAACTCGTCCTCCAGCTGGTCTCCGAAGCTCTCGCAGCCGTCGTAGCCCACCTGGTGCCCGTTCGACCCGTGGTCGACGTAGTCGCTCTCCAACGCCATGCACAAGCAGCACTCGTCAGAGTCGTCTTCGCTGGGCACGACCAGCACGTTGACTTCGGCGGCCTCCTTCTCGACAGTGCTGACAGTGCCCTTCTTTCTGTCCTCCTGATCTTTCTTGAACTTGAAGCAGTTGATCTTGATGCGGTCTTTCTTATTGCAGTAGTGGCGTGTCTTATCCTTATCACTCGACGGCGCGTTGCCGCCGCGTCCGCCCTTCGATCCACCCTTGCCGCCATCACCTTTGCCACCCTTGGAGCCCCCCTTGGCGCCACCTTTGCCCTTGAACCAACACTTGTCGGCAGTGCGGCCGAGCTTCTTGCAGAGGTTGCAGCGCGGCTTGTCGAACCCGATCGCGTCAACTTGGCCGACCGCATCCACCTGCATCGGCGCCTGGCCTCCTCCTCCAGTCGCCTCAGGTGGCCTGGGGACGAACGCCTTCGCATTCCTCTCCATGCAGTGCTCAGGAATCCCTGTCCGCATCACCGCGTAGCTCTCTGACCTCCTGGCTAGCTCCGTCGAGCACCTTCCTGATCTGGAGCGGCGCGTAGCCCAAGATGGTCGCGCACTTGAGCCTGTCGCTGATCGTGTCGTGGCTCGCCAGCTCATACTGCGTGACAAGGTGATCCCAGTCGTGCAGCACCTCCGCGAAGCTTCGCCTCGAGTGATCATCACTCGTCCACCACTTCGGCTGCGCGGTCGTCGTCAGCAGGCTGTGCTCCGAAGTGCCGCCGCTCGGGCGGTAGTCAGCATAGATCTACCGAAGTGCCTCGAACCCATTGCCAGCACCAGCCAACTTAGTCATCGTCTGCGCTTGCCCACGCATCTTCATCGCCAGGAACGTGCTCAAATTCATGCTCAGCTCCAGCGTCTCCGCGTTCTGGATGTCTTCTGCAGCTATCGGGCCCGCGTGGCCCACCGCCGCGTCGTAGAGGGACTCCCACCCCATCTCAGTCACCTCCGCCTCCAAGGTGAAAAAGAAACTCTCGAACTCATCCTGGCCGCCACTGAAGCTCTCATGGCTTCTGATGTCCTTCAGCGACCAAATATGATACGTCCCATTCTGGGTAGTCGTGCTCGCCATCGCGAGGCCCGTCCTGGTGGAACTGTCCACCCTCAGGCCTTCGTCGAAGTCGATCTCCTCCAAGGGCCCAGCCCGCAGCCAACGCCCTGCTGCCGCAGCAGAGCCAAGCCGTGGACCGCTCTCGTGGAGTAGCTCACGGTTCCGCTACCATGTTTTCTCCTCCTCGGGAGCGCGGGAGAGCCTCCGCGCTCGAAGCTCTGAGCCTGAACACCGGCGGAGCAGCAGCTGGTGGGGCTCCCAGGGACCTCGGGTCTGAAGGAGGCCCCTGAAATATCAAAGAATATCTACACACATACATACATACATGCTCACACACATACACACATGCATACATACATGCATACATACATACAGATATACACCCATACATCCATACACATACATACATACATACATACAAAAATACATACATACATACACACATACATACATGCACACGTACATGCACCACATACATACACTCATACATACACATAAACCTACATCAATACATACTTCTATTCAGACATGCATGCGTACACACATCCATACGTACATGCATACATACAGGCACACACACATACACATGGCATGCACACATACGTGCATACCTGCATAGACGCATACGCATATACGCATGCACATGCACGTGCACATGCATATGCTCATGCACGTACACATACACATACACATCCATAAACACATACACCTACACATGCACGTCCATGCATGCAAACAAATAAGCACGTATCCATTAAGTATATACGTATATATATATACTATAACAACGAATGTATACATACACATATATATATATATTATACCCGTATGTATGTACACATATATGTATACAACCCATTCACGATCCCCCCGCGCAATTTTCTTACTATCCACGTTTTCGTGCGGTTCCCCGGAAGACCCGCCCGTTTCAAGTTCCATGAACCTTGAGGGGACAGTCTCCGTCTCCAAGAGGACACCCTGTACTCAACAGCTTCCGTCTCCAAGACAACACTGACTACTCAACAGGCTCCCGCTGCAACAGGCTCCGGCGGGCGGGCGGGCAAGCCCGCCGCCCGACTGCCTGCCCGCCGCCCGCCCCCCTTCCCTGCAGCATGCACCACCCTGCACTCAACTGCCTCCGTCTCCAAGACAACACCCTGTAGTAAACAGCCTCGACCCAATACTCCACAGGCTCCCGCTGCAAGGGAAAATCCTTGAGGAGTCTATTAGAATCCCCACCCGCCCACCGCCCGCCCGCCTTCTTAGCACGCACCACCCTGTACTCAACTGCTTCCGTCTCCAAGACAACACCCTGTAGTCAACAGCCTCCGTCTCCAAGACAACACCCAGTACTCAACAGGCTCCCGCTGCAAGAGAAAATCCTCAAGGAGTCTATCATAATCCCGACGCGCCCGCCCGCCGCCCGCCCGCCAGGCCGCCCGTCGCCCGCGCGTCCGCCTTCCGTGTAGCATACACCACCCTGTGCTCAACAGCCTCCGTTTCCAAGACAACAACCTGTAGTCAACAGCCTCCTTCTCCAAGACAACACCCAGAACTCAACAGGCTCTTGCTGCATGAGAGAATCCTTAAGGAGCCAATTAAAATCCCGCCCGCCCGCCCGCCGCCAGCCCGCCTGCCCGCCGCCCACCGGCCCGCCTTCCGTGTAGCATGCACCACCCTGTACTCAACAGCCTCCGTCTCCAAGACAACACCTTGCACTCAACAACCCCCGTCTCCAATACAACACCCAGAACTCAACAGGCTCCCGCTGCAAGAGAGAATTTGAATGAGTCGACTGAAATCCCGAACCGCCCGCCGCCCGCCCGCCCGCCCGCCGCCCGCCCGCCCTTCCGCCTCTCCGTTCATCACCCCATCATCTTCGTCTCCGTCCACCTCACCCGCCCCACCTGTGTACACGAAGATAAGACTCTCGCTTTGGGACAACACATCGGGGGATCTTGAATGGATTATACATATATACATATATACATATATATATATGTATATATGTGTATATGTGTATATATATGTATATGTATACACATACATATACATATACATATATATTATATATAATATAATATATATATATATATATATATATACGTGTGTGTGTCATGGCTCTGCAGACGAAGCAGCGCCCGTCTCTCATTACGGACTGGGCTGAGCGCGCTCATCCCGAGCAAGCTACACGGAACCCCCAAGCGGGAACACGATTCCTGGTCTTCAGGGCACCCTCCCTGGGCAAGCCGTGGGGGAATCAGGCGGGAAGGCGATTCCTGAGTGATGCCAATTTGTGATTAAAAGTGTTCCCCCCTCCAGGCTGGCTGGTGAATAGGCTCAGCCACGCCACGCGCCGCATCCGAGCGGGAGCAAACATGCAGCGCAGTGTGGTGTATGTGCGAGCAACGCGTATGCGAGTTCAGGCCCTGTCCCAGGGCCAGGCGACACCCCTTCTTACCTAGGCAGTCTGCGCTGCATTCTGCATTTGGCTTGCGAGCGTGCGCCACTCGAGGTGAAAGCTCAGAAATGGGGGGCTTAAGCTCAGAATGTGAGAGACCTGCTTAAGGGTCTCTCTCGGTGCGGCAGCGGCGGGAGCAGCGGCGAGGAACGGCGGCAGCGGTTGCAAGAGCTCTCCCCTCTCCTTGCCCTGCTGTCTGCAACCATTTGGGCATCAGCCTTCCGCCGTAACGGAGCCTCCTTCCTGGCGGTCGGGCGTCCGCTCTACATCGTGCCCGCCGCCATCATGCGCCCCGAATGCAGCGGCACTGCCCTGCAGATCAATCGAGGTCGAAAACCTCTTACCCCTAACCCTCATCTATTGTTGGGCCCTCCGTTTGAATTCGCAGCGCCCCGCGGCCCACCCACTAGCCTCCCCTCCGCATCCCACTCCCCTCCTCACCTATGCCTTCCGCGTGTCCACTCCGGAACACCCATCACACTCTTCGTGGCCTCACAGGAAGCTCCACCGAAGGCTCCAGTGGCAGGGTCCGCATGGCGTCCCCCCGCCCATGTCGGCACACTCACACGCTTCGTGGCCTCATCGGGAGCTCCACCGATGGCTCCAGTGGCATGGTCCGCATGGCGTCCCCCCGGCCCATTTCAGCACTCTCATCACACAGTGCGTGGCTTCACAGGGAGCTCCACCAAAGGCCCCAGTGGCAGGGTCCGCATGGCGTCCCCCCCGCCCATTTCAGCACACTCATCACACAGTGCGTGGCCTCACAGGGAGCTCCGCCAACGGCGCCAGTGGCAGAGTCCGCATGGCGTCCCCCCCCCAATTTCGGTACACCTCTTACGCGCTTCGTGGCCCCATAGGCAGCTCCACCAGACGCCCTGGTGACATGGTCCGCATTTCGTCCCTCCGCCCTACGGCCCCAGTGGGCATGTCCGTATGGCGCCGCCCCACGCATTTTGGTACACCTATCACACGAATCAAGCTCCACAGGGATCTCCATCCCTGACACAGCGCGCCGCCTATGAAGAGAGGGTCATGTTCTGCGATCCTTGCAGCTGCAGATGGCTGGGTCCATCGCCAGGCGAATTTAATCGCGCGCCCTGGAGAATGTTCATCACAAGCTAACACTGCAGTGTGAGAAAGTCTCCAGCGAGAACACGTTCCAGTCTCGACGGAAATCAGGGCGAGAGCGACGAGGAGCACATTTGGATGGAGAAAGCACCACTGAGGGGGAACCAACAGCAATCATCCTCCGCTATGACTGGCTCGCGGTTCGTCCAGCTGTTGCTCCCAAGCCCCTGGCACCCGCCGATGTGCCTGCGGCGTGCACGCGTGGACCCACGATCCTTCTTGCTCTCATCCTCGGCCTGCTCGTCCGCGAGCAGCTTCACCATACCATCGATCATGGCGATGACCTTGGCGAAGCTGAAATCGCGGCCCTGCAATGCCAAGGCCAAGAAGTCGAGGCGCGCCCTCTGGGCTGGCCTCTTGCCCGCCCGCGCCGCGTCCACGAGGGCCATGGCCTTCAGGGGCGTCCGCGCCGAAGGGCCAACCGAAAACGATCGTGGTGGGCGTTTTCTTATTCGGCATTTCGACATTGGGCGGAAGGGGGGGAGAGGGGGGTCCGGCTCCGGACCTCTGCTTAGTGCGGCTGCTTGCAACGGTGCGTCCATTGTGGGGGAGACTCCGCCTGCTCGAAACAGGTGCCAAAGACAGCCAAGATCCACTCCACAATGGGGGGGGGAGGGGAGGTGCGAGGGCCCGTGCCGATCGGCAAAACCATGAAAACAAAAACGATCACGTGCCCGAGGCACTGGGAAACCAGGCCGATTGAAACGTGCATCAGCAGTGCGCAGAGTGGCGGGGGGCCGAGGTGGGGCAGCCGTCGAAGCAGGCTGGGGGGCGTCTCAGAGTCTTGGACACACACACACACACGAGGCTTCTGAGAAGGACGCTGAGAAGGCGAGAGGGCTTCTGGGATGCTCCCTGTCTGATTAAACGGCATCGTTAAAGCATTTTCGCCTGCTCTTCGCCGTGTCAACGGCGCTTGGGTCGTTAGAGTTGACGAGAAGGCAGACTTCTTTGCGAATTCGTTCTCCGACCGCTGGACCATTCCAGCTGTCGAGAGGAATTGATTGTTTTTCTGACATTCCTCAGCGCCGTCCTGTGGAGCAGACTGATTTTTTCGCTGTCCAGGCGAGGCAAGTTTTTAGCGTGCTCACACATCTCAAACGAGATTCCGCCACAGGGCCTGACGAGGTTCCAGTCCGCATTCTCGTCGCCTGTTCCGCTTCTCTCGCCTTGCCACTTGCTCTTCTGATTAGATCTATCATCCGTGCAGGCAGGTGGCCAGAGCCTTGGCGTTTGCATCGTATCTGTCCTCCCCCTCGCCCCACCCCTCTTGCGCGCCACCAGCACACGTCGAGAAAACCGGCTCAATCGAAGTGCTCAAGCCGACGTGAAGCAGGCTGGGCGGCACCTCGGCCTCTTGGACAGGCACGAGGCTTCTGAGAAGGACTCTGAGAAGGCGAAAGGGCTTCTAGGACGCTCCCTGCAAACTGAGAAGGCCACTCCCTCGCCCCACCCCCCTTGCGCGCCACCAGCTGACGTAGAGAAAACATGCCAAATCGAATTGCTCAGGCCGACGGAGGCCAAACGCACCTCCGAACTGCTTCAGATATTGCCCGCCCCTGAAACATTGGATCCAACAAGGTCGACACATCTTTGTTGTGTAGACACGCCCCTGATCAAGGTGCATATTTGGCTTGGGGGGCATCTTAGGGGTACAGCAAGGTTGACACATCTTTCGGCGGCGCGCCCAAGGGGAAAATGCGAAGGATAATACCTTCTCAGAACGCGCCGGGGCTTCTCGGACGCTGGCCTCCCGAAAAGATCCGCGCGCCTTCGGGGACGGCTTAGAAAACTTCTCGGAAGGCCAGAGGACTTCCGAGTTTTGAAAACCGAGAACGATGAAAATTGTTGGCTTCTCAACTGATGGGGAGGGGACTCCACCAAGCAGAAACTGCTGTGCATCCGCTCGCGGCTGCAGAGCCAGCGGAAGTTTGCGCCACGAAGCTCGGCACCTAAAAGCAGGTGTCTGTCCTGGCCGCAGAGGAGGCGAAGGTGGAGGAGGAAGAAGAGAGGGGAGAGAAGGAAAAGGAGGAGAAGGAGGAAGAGGAGGAGGAGGAGGAGGAGGAAGGAAAACGATATGATTTGAAATCATAGTTCAGCTCTCCCGGGACTCTTCGGGACGATCCAGGCACCCCTTGGGGACGCCATCGGCGAAGCGTGGCCCCGATGCCGGAACACCGCCGAGAACCAACGGGCATCCGCGGGGAACTTCCCCCCCGGGCTGGCCGCCTCCTTTTCCTCCTCCTCCTCCTTCTCCGCCTCCTCATCCTTTTCCTCTCCCTCCCTCCCTCCCTCCTCTCCCGCGCTCCCTCCCTCCCTCCCTCTCTCCGCCCCTCCTTCCACCGCCCGCCTCATGTCCCGAGCCAGTGGCAGGGTCATCAGCTCGTCGTTGTCGTTGTCGTCGTGGTCGTCGTCGTGGTCGTCGTGGTCATTCTGTATCGGCGGCGGTGGCCGCAAGGCCTTTACAATCTCTGGGGGCCAATATTTCGCGTTTACCGACTCCGACATTGGAGCGGCCTTCTTTTTGTTACTTCCGCTGGCCCCTCCGCCGAGGAAGAGGAGGCCAGCCTCCCTCCGCGACGTCTCGAAGGCGGGCCCTCTTTGCGGAGCGCCCCATGCGCAGCCGAAGCCGTGATGAGGGGCATCTTTGCCGTCGTCGTCGTCATCGTCGTCGTCGCGCCTCGAATGGCGCAGGGGTCCCAAGGCTCGAAAACGGCTCCAAAAGGACCAGAAAAGCAAACAACACAATTAGGCGACCGAGGGACCCCACATACTTATAGTATGCCTGGCGCGATGATAGCCGAAATGAAACGTGCGAAAACCATGCGAGGTGAGCAAAGAGGCAACGGGGGCGAGGTGAACAAAGTGGCGAACGCGTCGCGTGGAGCAAGAGGAGAGGAGGTCACCGAAGGCCTTTTTTCCGGGGCGGCAACGGGCACTTTGGTCACGCGGGACACGGAACGATCTTCTGCGAAAAGCCTCCGACAACGCCCAACTCGCAAAGCTAGCAAGGTCTCGGAAAGCCCCGAACGCTCCGGCGCGGTGCTCGCTCAATCTTCGGCGAAAAGCCTCCGACAGCTAGCAAGGTTGCAAGGGCGCCGCCGCCGCCGGAGGACGGGGGTCACCGAAGGCCGTTTGACGGAGCGGGGCGTGGGGACAATGTTTGCCGGCTGGACGGCGCCGACTTTGTCGGAAAGACTCCGGCGCGTCGTCCAGAGCGCGCGCGGACCGCAGTCACCTCCACGGCCACTGTGGAGGCGCACAGGCCCGTGCGCTCCAACGACCGCTTGGCGTTCCAGAGAGAGAGAGAGAGAGAGAGAGAGAAAGAGACAGAGACAGAGAGAGCCTCGATCTCCCGCGTCTCCGTGGCCGTGCGCCCATCGAACTTCTGGAGAGCTTTAAGCACATGCGCCTTTGACCAGAGCGCTCCCTGGGTCGTCCATTCGGACCAGACGTAAACCTGCCAGACTGGTTCCGAAGCCGTTCTTAACCTTCAGCTGCGAGCGCGGAGGCGGCAACTCGGCGATAGCACACCTGGGAAACATCCCGTTGAAAGGGCATCCCTTGCGGCGCGGCGCAGAAGCCAAAACGCGTTGTGCGTTCAACTCGAGCCAACATGTTGACAGTCCTGCTGTGGAGGAAGTGCCACGACGGCCATGCCCTGCGCAATGGCCCGCATAGAGGCCGCGATCAAGGACCACCCCCTGCGCACCCCGTCTGGTGTCGCGAAAGAGCCACGCCTGCCGTGCCATTCGCCATGGCCCGCATGAGCGCCGCGCCCAGGGGGCCCCATGCACGCTCTCACTCGTGTCGCGAAAGTGCCACGCCTGCTGTGCCCTGCGCCATGGCCCGCATAGACGCCGCGCTCAAGGACCCCCCCCTGCGCACCCCTTCTGGTGTCGAGAAAATGCCACGCCTGCCGTGCCCTGAGGCATGGCTCGCATAAACGCCGCGCTCAGGGACCACCCCCTGCGCACCCCCTATGGCGTCGAGAAAGGGCCACGCCTGCCGTGCCCTGCGCCATGGCCCGCATAGACGTCACACTAAGGGACCCCCCCCTGCGCACCCCCTCTGGTGTCGAGAATGTGCCACGCCCGCCGTGCCCTGCGCCATGGCCCGCATCGACGCCGCGCTCAGGGACCACCTCCTGCGCACCCCCTCTTGTGTCGAGAAAGTGCCACGCCCGCCGTGCCCTGCGCCATGGCCCGCATCGACGCCGCGCTCAGAGACCACCAGCTGCGCACCCCCTCTGGTGTCGCGAAAGTGCCACGCCCGCCGTGCCCTGCGCCATGGCCCGCATAAACGCCGCGCTCAGGGACCACCCCCTGCGCACCCCCTACGGCGTCGAGAAAGAGCCACGCCTGCCACGCTTTGTGAGCGTGTGTATGTGTATGATGCGTGTGCGACTGTATGTGGACGTGTGTATCAATGTGTGTGCAGTGTTTGTGTTGCGTGCGTCTGGTGTGTCTCATGTGGGTGCCCAATGTGTGCTGCATACGTCTTCGTTGTGTCATGCAGTGAACACGCCAGGCGTGCACTAGCGTTGTATGCTTGTACGCTGTGTGTTTGCGTGTGTGCGTGTCTGCGAGTGTATGCATGCGTGCGGATGTATGTAGACGCGTGTCTCATGCACGCGCCGTGCATGTGTTGCGCGTAGGTGAGGGGAGGAAGGAAGAGGAGGAGAGGAGAGGAGGGAGGTGAGGAAGACGCGGGTGCGACGCGGCAGGGAACAAAACAATAAGCCCACTAAGCATGTGGGGAACAAACATCTCGAGCAAGGAACCTCTAACCTGCCCCCCCCTCCTGCTGGCCGGATCCAGTTCTGGGCCATCTCAGACCCCCAGCCAGCTCCAAGACTAGACTTTTTCTGAGGGGTACTGCTAGGGAGGACCAGCTCAGGGGGGAAACATCGAGCTGGAATCGGTGATAAATCGTCGATCGACCGGCGACAGGCCCCCGATAGCGAGTCCGCACGTTCCTGGGCGGGGCGAGCTATCAGGCCCCTGATTGGCGAATGGGGGGCAATGCGTCCCCCCCTTGAACCAATCCCCGTCCCTGGTGGTTTGCGGGCCAGAACTCTGCTACCTGGAGGCCGTTCGGGTAGTCCAGGCACTCCCGGAACGCCCTCGGCAAGGAGCAGCCGCTGGAAGGCACCCCGAGGCTATATCCCCCCCTTGCGTTACCCCTGACGTGCCCTCCGGCCCTCTTGGGCAGGCACTAACCTGGGTGAGCACTGGTTCGGGTCAGCCGATACCCTGTCGGGAAGCCCCGTTTGCTGCTGTGGTAGCTCCAAAACCCGGGTCAGCGTAGGGCGGGAAGGGGTAATCGGGCATTGGGCGTAGGTTAATGGGGGGCGATTCATGGAGGGAGAAATATGTAATCCCACCAGCCC